TTAATTTTTCAAATGAAGAGGAAGAGAGGGCCTCTCTGTGCTGATGTGACAGGGAGCGTGATGTGACAAGAGGTCCAGACCTCACCAGCGAGGCAAGGGGAGGAAGGAATTCACTTATCTGCTGCCTCGCCGTTACCATCGACACATCACATTCCAATTATTGCAGGGGGCCGAGGCTTTAATTACTAGCCTGTGTGTGGAGGTGAAATTAGACCTCCAGCACTGTAGGTTAATGCGAGAGTGTAGAACACACAGCCTGCAAGAGGAGACTTGCGCTGATGCAACACATCTGATCTGCATGCAGAATTCACTCTCAGCTGTCAGCTCCACTCACTGATAAGAGAACTGAGAGAGTCTGAGTGCCAATGAAGGTGTGGATGTTAAAATACCTCATTTCCATTTGTTTCGTGTCCGTGTGTGCCTGCTGACGCATGTCTGCGGGCCTGTGTGAACTTTCACTTGTAGGTGTGTACTGCCACGCAGAATACGTTAACATTTATTTTGGTTCTAAACAAGTTTGACGACTGTATTCTATAACTGAACTTGCAGTGTGAACATGTCAGGGGTTTTCAGACTGAGGGGCTACAATGGGGTCTGTAGAAGATTAATAGACAAGAAAGATTTTAAAATATGTATTTTAAGGCCTGCTTGATTTTTAGTTTAATTTAAGGTATTAAACTTTTAGCATAATAATTTGAAGATGTTCACTGTCAACTAGAAACTAAATATTCACAGATAGTTTACTTCAGTACAAGATTTATAGCTTAAACAAATTAAAATACAAGTTGAAATATTAAATGTATTTAAAATATATATTTGTATAAATATTTGATTTTAAAATCAACACTGTGTATTTTTAATATCTCTTTTTATAAAGTAAAAAGTAGCTAAATATACTCTGATATTTTGTTTATACAAATGAATGGGGGGGAAATTAAACATTTAGACATGATTCAAAATATATTTTATTATCCAGAGAATAAAGAATGTCATACCAGTTTGGAATGGCATTGGGTTGATTAAATGATGACAGAATTTTTCATTTTAATCTTAACTATCCTTTTAGGATTATTTGTACACTGTGTAACAGTCTAACACAGAGTAAATAAATTAAATATTATTAATAATAAAAAAAAAGATAATAATAGTTGTATATATATTTTAGGAAGGGGGTCTTTAATATGAGATCATCATATTTTCTTATAGTCCTTTTGAGTTTGAAATCCCCTTTCCTATGTGATAGTGTTTTTGTCAGATGAATCTAAAAACCTACCCAGCACAACTCAAAATGTTCTTAACATATCTGGCCGTGAAGTGAATGCGACATTAGCTTAGACAAGCAGTCGTCTGTCTACACCGTTGCGAAAAAAGGCCTCTATTTCATTTCAATTTCAGAGAGAATAATCAATGTGCCTCCCTATCTTGTGTACTATTCAGAACAGGTGAATCAGCTGAAGTATGTCCCATTCTTTTTCTTTCTGCTCAAATATTACACAGCCACACAAAGTGAGTCATCAAAATCTCTATGCTCATCAGCTGCATTACTGAGCAATTACCTACTTTTCCCCTTGTAAAAAATTAGTTTCAGCCATGACTGTTCTCATTACTGTTCAAATCACAGCATGCTAGGCTCGAGTTTCTGTCAATAATATACCATTAATCAGTAGCGTGCTCGTCAAATTTTACAGAGGTACCCTAACAGGGTCTGAGCGAAGTTTTTGATTGAGTTCAGACGCTTGATTGCTTGTACAGCTGCACAATAGGGCATAATTACACGTGGAAGAGACGGCAGAGATACTATCTGACAGTCGTGGTTGTGTTGCCAGCTTTTAAGAGCAGGCAGGACTGCGATGGTAGCGTGCTGGAAAGGCATGTGGCGGAAAGCCTGTCGGTGGCATTCTGTTGAGCTCAATCCAAGGTGTTGTGTTAATTACTTTGGATGCTGTCCAGAAACCCTCAAAGAATTCAGAGAACTGTGATGTTCAATTTGGTACAATTCTAATAATTTTCATGGTTTACAGTGAACCAAACTTTTTTTTTCCTTCTCCAATGTTTCCATGCAACAGATAAAACTCTACTTCGGGTTCATGAGGTATGGGCTTCTATTATTTTTATTCATGTTTGCCTGAAGGGAAGTGTCATTATTTGGCACTCAGATTGTTTCGTGGAGATGAATGTTAATGAGGCAGCCCTTTATTTTTACTGCATAATCTACTGAACACCTTGTCATTCAGTCAGGGAGGCACTGTTCATTTTCATTGTCATGAATGATGCAAGTACATAGTAAGTGCCATTCAATGATTTAAAGGGATAGTTCACCACAAAATACAAATTCTCTGTTTATTTACCATATTACATATGCCTTATGAACACAAAGCTATCATTTTGTGATAACTTTTTATTTTTGACTAATCTTCAAGGCTGGAACGTTAACATTTACAATCTGTCTGTCTGTCTGTCTGTCTGTCTGTCTGTGAGTGAGTGAGTGAGTCTGGACCACAAAACCAGTCATAAGTCGCTGGGGCATATTTTTAGCAATAGCCAAAAATACATTGTATGGGTCAAAATTATTGATTTTTCTTTTATGCCCAAAATTATTAAGATATTAGGTAAAGATCATGATCCATAAGTGAAAACCTTGTGAAGACTTACAGAAAATGTTTGACCTCTGTCATTGCCAACAAAGTGTATATAACAAAGTATTGAGATGAAATTTTGTTATTGACCAAATACTTATTTTCCACCATAATTTGCAAATAAATTCTTTAAAAATCCTACAATGTGATTTTCTGGATTTTTTTTTCTCATTTTGTCTCTCATAGTTGAGGTATACCTATGATGAAAATTACAGGCCTCTCTCATCTTTTTAAGTGGGAGAACTTGCACAATTGGTGGCTGACTAAATACTTTTTTGCCCCACTGTATATATACGTGCCATTAGTTGTCCATAAACCACCAAAAAAAGATGCTTTTCCACCCTATTCTGCTTGGATGAGTGCTCTAAACCCATGAATGCGGTCCCTGTTGCCGGCCTGGCAAGAGTCGGCCACCTTCCACTCCGAGCTGAGGTGGGATGCATATAGTTTGGCTGTGGGGCTTGAGGGGGAAAGTCAATCCACACTAAAAGCTTAGTTGCTGCCTTTCAGCATAGAGCCAAGAGGCACATAGAAAAGCATTAAATAAACATTAATGGAAGTGGGTAAGGGGAGATTTATTTAGGAGGCTTTTTGGCCTTGCCTAAGGGAGCCATGCACCATTTTATTCACTCATACAAGCACACAGGTAAACAAACAAGGTAATTTATGGCAGTCTTCAGAGGTGGTAGTGTTTGAAATTCACTTTCTGGCCATTTTTTAGAGTAAGGCAATTGTTTTTCACACCATCTCACAGAATTTTAAACATTTATCATATACCGACTGGATGATATGCAGAATCTCTTCTCTGGACTTCTCTCTTGGAATTTCATTAAAGTAGTTTTGTAAAGTAAAATACGGTAGAGGACTGGGGCCAAGCAGTAATAATGATTAATTATTCATATTTCCCCATGAGCTGATTCGCTACACTCTCTACAACCTACGCCACTGCAGACACTGATTAACACTGTCCAACAAGATAAAAGGAGCATGACACAAGTGTTTATTCTCAGCATTTTATTTAGACTTTTTTCCTCAATTTAACATGTTTTTTCTCGAAACACAATGACTTTATTCTCAAAAATTAGTTTTTTCTCAACATTCTATTTAGACTTTTTTTCTGCGAAAAACTGAGTTTTGTGAGTTGACTTTATTCTCAAGATGGTTTTATTTGTTTATTATAGCTTGGCCCTAATCCTCTTCCGTAGTAATGAGGTTAAAGGGAGTTTTTACTCTATTTTTCTAACACTGTATTGTCAGAACATCTAGCGGAGACTATTAATTTGTATGGAAAGCTAAAAAAGGAACATTTCTACAAGAGAGGAATGCTATCCTTTCTGTATAGTGAAATATGGGATGTTGCTGGGGAAACTTGTTGGCATGGTTGTCAAACTTAAACAAACAGAACAATATATTGATAGTGTTGCAGAGCCACAGTATTTAGGCTTTATGGGGAAATGAAGCTACAACTGGCATTGTCGACTCTACATATTAATGACAAATGACACACTTCAGCTTTAAATATCAGGCAAAACCTTTCCTTTCAATTCAATTTCTCATCAGGAAACATAAAAAGAATAACATTTGATGGTTCCATTCAACCTGTTGCAGAGAGATGTTTTTGGGACAGCATTCACATCCAATAATGACTGTTAAACAATCTGACTCATGTCTGAGCGGCTGATATGAATAGCTTGAATAAAATACTAGACATGGATTTGACATAGCCTCTCTGTTCCTTCAAAAGGCCAAACTCTGTCCATCCGCACCACTTTGAATCTAGGAAACACTATTGACACATGCTACCTGTTTGTTTGTGTATATGTGTGTGGTTTATGAGGCCGAGGATGGTCCACGTGTGCCTCGTGAGCTGCGAGATAGCACATCCCCGACAGGAGCTGTCAATAGCCATTCACTGAGAGAACCTGCCTTCATCTGCTCTTGAAATTACAGAGCGCAACTCTCACGGGGTTTCAGCACTTGCTGACCCCAGTCTTGTTGGGAGAAACAATGAAACAATGACTGCAATCAGCTATTCCCTCCAGCATCTGTGTTAGTCCCCCAGACTATGAAACGCTCCTCTATCACTCCTGCACCTGCGCTAATAGCTCAGTGCGCCAATGACTCCAAATTTAGATGGAGAGGTTATTGAATGCCTCTGTTTGTCTCGCTTGACCTCTGCAGAGAAGTGGTGGTTTTTCTCAATTTTCCTGCAGGTGACCTCTTTGTTGAAGGATTGCGGACAGGATTTGGAGGGCAGCTAGTTGCTTTGTTTGTCGTTGTTTATCCATCACTGAACAAGCCCTTGCGTTTTAACATAGCTATGACAATACATCTCTTATCCTTCCTTAACTGTATCCTTCTCACAGTTTCTCCAAGCATTCGCGAGAGCAGTATGAGAAGCTCTCCACCATGCACAAGAATATGCAGAAGCTATACGAGAGCCTAGGGAGCTACTTCGCCTTCGACCCCCACACCGTCAGCATCGAGGACTTCTTCGGAGAACTGGCTAACTTCCGCAACCTCTTCATGGTGAGTACAGCAGCACTGTCACCTATTTATCCTCAGAAGAGTGCTTTTTTTCTTCTGCTCTTTGCACTCCTCGAGGTTGAAGAGAGTCGAATATTTTGTTCTTTCTCTAATGTGTATAAATCTGACTTTCCAAAAGAGTCCTCGAGAGCAGGTGCAGATAATATTCTAGTTAATACTTTCAATGCTTTCTCCACAGCTAGACAGAACAGGTCAGGGTTGCTAGATAGCAGTATGATTAAGTTTAAGATTGCTTTGGCAGCTTCTATCACTTGGAATGTGAGAGTGCAATTCTCCTAACTTCATCACTTTCTCTTCTTCATATATATATACACCGTTTTTATCAGTACATAGTTTAACGTAAAAGCATACTACTCCAAACTAAAGCTGCTGGCCTTGTCTTAAGTGCATGTGGTGATTTAGCTTATTTGATCACATTTGATAAAGACATTTTCCTCACAGGGGTGAGGAGATGGAAGGACGGGCTTACTGGGCAGATTAAAGCATACATAAACTGTGCTGAGAATGGAATGTATAATGGATGACCAAACGTGTAGCTCCTATGCAGATAAAAGAGTCTCAGAAGCTTCTTATCCTTTCAGAGTTTCATTAGCTTCTGTATTTGGCGGATATCAAGGCAACGCCGCCTCCCTATAACCAAAAAAAAAACCCTGCTTGGGGTTTAGGCAGTTGGACTAGGTTGTTGCTGATAGGATAGGATTTATCCAGACTGAGTGTGAAACCAAGGGAGGCGTTTCAAGTACATCTCACTGTACAAAGAAGATATGAGATTTTCAGCTAATTGATTTTTTTTTTAATATATATATATAGATTCTTAGAGCCTGACTTGTATTTGCTTCTTAAAAGCAGCTTTTAAAAAACTTTTAAGCAGAATATTAATAAGCTTTATGGAAAATTAGTCTTGAATTGTGGGTGTAAAATTATTTATTTTTGTTATTTAATTATACATATTTTTGCATATAATTCATATATTTTAAAAAGAGTGTTTAAAACTTGTATGTAAAATATATTTTTTAATATACATATTTTATAATACTTTAATATTGATGTTTCATAATAATTCATATTATAGCTATTCATATTTTAATAATTTTAAATACCGGTTTGACTCAGAAATTGCCAATAAATTGGTAAATAGTGACATTTTAAAGTTTTTTTTTTTTTTTTTTTTACTTGTCCACTATGATTTTTTTATCTTCACTGTGGTAAGGGCACCCTGGGATTGGGATAATTTAGATTTTTAAATGGAACCTTAATATGGGCTTGAGGAGGAGAGCAGAACGCTTCAACACAAAACAGTCTCTGGAGATTTTTTACACATATATGTAAGTGTTTCTCTTGCTTCTGGCTATATTTCAGCTCCCTTCCAGCAAAAAAAAAAAACAATTTAATGAAATAAAATGGGATAACATGATGTCCAGAAGGTATGCTCAAAGTCTTCAAAACCCATTACAGTGAATGGCAAGGTCTCCTTGTCTGTGGCTTCTCGCTCACCCCTCTCTCGCAAGCACATCTAAAAACCAACTTTCATTCGCCCTGATCAAAGTCTAGCAACACGACACGGCTCTCCCTCCTGGATGCAGCATTGAACTGCTGTAAAAGGGGCATCTATGAAAATAAATTATTCTCTCAAGCGAATAGCTCTTTATGAATAAGTTATCTCTGATTTAGACTTGAATGCTGGGACGAGCAGAGTTGGTGGAGAACACAAACATGGTTGGATGTCCAGTGGCCAATTTCTTTCTTTCTTTCTTTCTTTCTTTCTTGTCAAAAAGCCAGATACATTAGTAAGAGCTGAGGTCTGGTAAGATTATATTGTGTCGTGATAAACTGACAAGCAATAAAAGTTGTTGGCTGTAACCGGCCAAGCAAGAACATTTTGTCACTCGCTTTGTTTTGCTGGGAAGCCCGTTCGGCACCATTGGTCCAAAATCCTGCTGCTCATAACTGTACAATAAACCTCAAATATGGCCAGATTCATTAAATTGCTTGTCGCATCACGTCCCATTATGACAATGTTAACCGCATATTTGCAAATGTACTTTGTGACTCTTTGCCAAAGAGAAAGGTTATTAAATACATTTATATTCATGATAGAGCCCTCCACATAATGTATGTTCCACCATAGCATATTTATGGCACCTCATAATTTTATCAACATTTATCCTCAGAAATGACCCACATTGCTGTATGTTAAATTGCCTGAGTGGCACATCCATTTGGTAGGACAAAAAAAGCCCTGCCTGCCAGTTCTCATGAAGCACTCACACTCAGATAAGAGAATCTATTAGCTATATTTCTATTCAGGGTCAATAGAAATGAAATTTGATTTCAGCACATGAAGTTTGTTTCAGATCGTCCCATCAATTTATCCAGTACGCTGCCAGATTTGAACTAGAGAGAGAGAGAAACTCCCACTGCGTCGTCGTCTTCTGTATGTAATGTAGCGGCTGTGGATGAATATCAGTATATTAATGCCTTATCAGAGCGCAGCAGATGGTGATGAACTAACAGTCTCACTTGTTAATTGAGTGAGCCACTGATTACACCAATAAAGTCAGCAGAGGTTGAGCCACAGTGATGGTGCACGACGAGCGTGACTCAGCTTATCAATAGAGTGCACGTGTGTGCATTAGTGAGCGTGCATATCTGTCTGAATATGTGCTGCTTGCACAAAACAGTTATCGAGGGCCATTGGCTTTATATATTATGTCAGCTCTGGAAATAATGATGATGCTAGTAATGGAGATTGTGATGTAGTGTGATGTCATCACTGCTGCTTTTTCATTTCCACCGCACAGCTACTGCGAGTGTTATTTAAATTAAATATTTAAATTGTGAATTAAACCCAATGGAGTGTCCCTTCAGATTAGTCTAATATTTGAGTCAACACATACAACATCGGCCACTTTTCACTCTTGGCAATTTTGTAGGCCTCTCACAGCCTGTTGAAAACTAATGGGGGATATGATCCAATAAATAAATAAATAACTCCAATATCATCAAATTTGGTTCAGTTCGTGTACATTTTGTGTTGGCCAAATAGGCCCATCTGTGGTGTGGATTTTTGTCCTCCATTTCTCTCGCTCTCTTTCTTTCCGTTTCCGGAAGCCAAGTGTGTATGCATTGCATGTAGGGCAGTACATATATGATGGTTCCAACCAAAAAAACACTGAATATGAATTATAGAGCCCCTGACAGTGGGATGAGCCACCCTTTTTTGTCCATATGCGTAAGACAAGGCTATTCAGATATTCTATTCTGAAGCTGGGCAAACAGGAGAGACTACAAAGCCAGCTCCGCAACGCAGGATTGCAGCAAGAGCGCGCTTCCTTAGTGTCACTCCGCTGCACATGTACCCAGTGAATATATTTACAAAGACATCTATTCCTCAGTGGCTGCCTGGAAGGACACCATCCTATCCTGTGCTTGCCAGCATGCATAAACACACCCGTGGTAGATGGAGTCCATATTGGCAAATTCAATTCCGCAGCAATCCCTCTCCTAGAGTAGTGCAAACACTACTGTGGCATGCGTTTCCCTACCAATCTAGAGATTGCACAACAGCGTTTTTCCATAAAATGCTTTTCCCAGGTGGTTTTGTGTTGTTGGTGTTAGAAGTAAATTGCTTGTTTATCATCGTCTTTCGTATTAGCAGATCTAGTTGGTGATTCATCCAACTGAAAATTTGATCAAATCCTCCCACATTTTCTTACTCAAGATGGATGTATTTATAAATTGTTAATATTTTGTGTGTGTCTGATTTTATTAATACTAATCCTTCTACTAACTTAATAATTAATTATAATTCATTACATTTATATAGCGCTTTTCTAGGCACTCAAAGTGCTTTACATTGTCAGGGGGTATCTCCTCATCCACCACCAGTGTGCAGCATCCACCTGGATGATGCGACGGCAGCCATAGTGCGCCAGAACGCAAAACTTAAGGTTTTAAAAAGATAATTCACCCAAAAATGAAAACTCACCCTCATGTCGTTCCAGACCTGTATGACTTTACTTTACTTCTGCAGAATACAAAAGAAGAACTCCTTTTGTCCAGACAATTAAAGTCAGTGGTGTTTTTTTTTTTTTTTTTGGTTCCACAAAATAAAGTCATACAGGTTTGAACAGACATGAGTGTGAGTAAATATTTTTTTGCTACATCGTCCTTTTAAAGACGATTGACATCCCGTGGTAACTAGGATTTACACAAGCTTCAGTCTGGATCCAGAACACCTGAGAAGAGATGATGCCAACCCCTCAGAGGACCTCAGATTATGCCAACCCTGAAACAACATAAAGAACTACCACATTTTGCTATAAGTTTGATTGCATCATATAATAATTGCTGTTAATGGTGTTCATCGTCTGTTTGATTACGTCTTTAATTGATTTTTCCGTACATTTTTTCTGCCATATGTACTTTAACTGACAGTCACCACTGATAAGCTACCACTAAATATTGTAGAAACTTAATTTGCTGTAAAGTTGCTTTGCAACGATTTGTATCGTGAAAAGCGCTATACAAATAAACTTGAATTGAATTGAATTGAATTTAAAGACAGACAGATTGAGTGCTATCTCTCTCATTTTTAAATAACCCATCCTGAGTACTCTAATTAACCAAACGAGTTTTAAGGAAGACTTTTTCCCCTGTAATCAGCTTCCTTAATGACTTTGGATTATTTAGTGTGCAAACACAATTAGCTGGCCTAATTTGCCTTAACGTATTGATTGGAGGCCACCACTGACAACCACATGACTTCCTGTGGATTTCAATCCTCTCTTTGTTTACTTCTATCTTTTTTTTTTTAACGAACCTTTACCTTTCGTTTGTATAGAGCGTATCTGCAGCCATGAGATATCAGCTTTCCTTGGCAGGGAGGACCGATGGGGATGCGATTTGAATTTGCAACAGTCAGAGGCACTGTGACCATGAGAGACAAATTTCCGTGAGTCCGTGCAGCTTGGATGAATGCTCTTCAGGGCCGTCCGTGAGCGAGAACATGATCATGGTCTAAATTGAGCATTTGATTCTCTTAAGCAAACATACATGCTGCATGTAGAAACAGCAAATCGCACACATCCCACCATCATTCTTGCTAATGCGATTAATCCTTTGTAGTCAATAGCGGGATTGTTTTGAGCTATGAGAATGATATTCAAATGCACTCCCCCTGGGTGTTGTTTATCTCATGTAAAGCTTCCTAATACCTAAAACACAATTAAGAAAATTGATAAAATCATAAATACTGCCCTAGGCTAATTTGGATCAAGAAAAGGGTTGAAAACATGTTTGTTGCCATGATAATTAGGGTTTTTGCATGTTTGATGAGAGTAAGATAATTATGTTGTGTAATCGTGTTTGCAGTCAGAATTGTTTGTTTATTTATAAAAAAAATTGCCAGCAGGAATTATTTTTGTCGCTATGAATAAATTATTTTTCAATTAAGGATCCAACGCTTGACAATGAGTTTGATGCTATCTCCAATTTCAAGACTGAGATTGAACTGTCAGTTTTGGAGACCCATAATCCAGTGTCTTCATAATGCTCTATTTGAAAAAGCGAAATCACAATAACAGGAAGAATTGTTTATGCTAATGTTTGTTGTCACTCTGTGTCATGAATAGATGAATATAGAATTCCTTTTCACACTTTTTGAAGGACAGCCATATGCATGCTGACTCAATTACTTTTTTATTAGAACAAGTATTGTGCTTATTCATTGCTGACTTATAGTTTTGCAGCATAATGCAAATTTGGAACAGGTGGATATCTGGCTATCTCTCTCTCTCTCTCTCTCTCATATGTTCATCCTTGTCCTTGTCATCTCAAGAAAAGTGAGCGTGTGGATTGTGGGTTCCTGTTCTCGGGTTTGACGGCAGATCCGCTCTTGACCACCATGATAGCTGTACTTTTCTCCTCCCACACTGGAGCCATGATCCTTGTGTCTCAACACCAAACACAACACGCACTTCGGAAACCCTAAGGGAGTCTGAAAGGGCCAGACTGTCGACACTCATTATATCATACCAAGAAAGAACAAGACACACACACATATACGTATACACAAAACACTCATTCCTGCTTTTAAGGCAAGGCCTGTCAGGTTAGTGATGCAGGCCTGGGGTGAAGAGACCTTTGCTGTGCTGGAAAGGTTATGAAGAAGTGGCTTATTCTCTCTTCTCTGCTGTGTCTCCGTGCCCTCTAAGCGTCTCTGTCCAGCTCTCTCGTCAACTTCATACCGCCTGACACCTCTGTGGCATTTACAGAAGAAGAGAGGAGGACGATGATATCTCTGCGTCTCTGTATACAGGCTTCTCTCCCACTCGCTGATGCCCCGCCAGCATTGCCGCCGCAACATCCTGGCATTCAGTCACTGGAAATATGCCGGATGGACTGCTTCCACATTAATGCGTATGGAGATTGTTGCTCAGTGGAGACAACGGCAGTATCAGGAGCCATCTTGATGTTCAATTAGACAATGTCTGTCTGCTTCCTTTTCTCAACACTCATTGTTTCTTTCGATGGAAGCAGAAAGGCTGCAACTGTGTCCCTTTAACTCAAGAGCAGATAAGCAGGCGCAGATGAAATCTGGGAACTTTCTTTTCAATTTCCTTGCAGATTTAGGAATTTAGGAAGGAATTTAAACTTGATAAAATGAAGTTGAGAGTGAAGTTCCTGACGTTTTTGTATTGTAATTTATTTATTATTATTATTATTCTTTTTTTATTTATTTATTTCATTTATTGTATTTATTTATTTTTTCATTTTTCTAGCAAATACTTTCCACTATAATGTATCAAATGATGTGTTGTTTTCATGTTAAAATGTAAGGCATCCTCCTCAGGCATTTTCCCTTTTATAAATAATCTTAATTCTGTGGAGTTCAGCAGGTGTAGATTCAGTGTGTGCCTGCAGCTAAGCATTGTCCTCAGTGTGTGTCGACACCATTATTACTAGTGCTGTCTATACTGTTTGTTCAGTGATAGAATTGTGCTGGATTTTTCCTTCTTTTCCTCTAATTTCATTGTCTCTCTCTCTCTCTGACACTTCAGGATGCTATGCGGGAGAACCACAAGAAGAGGGAGATGGAGGAGAAGATCAAGAGAGCCAAGCTGGCAAAGGAGAAAGCTGAGCGAGAGAAACTAGAGCGACAGCAAAAGAAGAAACAGCTGATTGACATGAACAAAGGTACGGCGCTACTGCCCCGCCAGGGCCCGACTGCAGCGATTTCACATGGTGTTAAGCACTGCAGGGGTGGTCATGGTGATGATGATGGAGGGACAGGGCCACACTTCATCTGTGAAAAATCTCACTCTTCTCCGCCTGTTCGCTCGCTTTAAATGTACAGGTACATTAGATGTGGCTGAGAATGTTTTAATGAAAAGTCGAGATGGTCCTCACTGCAGAACACAAGATCCAGGGGACGTAGTTGGATCCAGATCCAACTCCTCCCACCTTACATATACCTAAACCTACCCGTCTCCACCCCCTGATCCCTAAACCAACCCATCTCCACCCCTAAACCTACAAATCTCCACCCCCTAGATGTGAATCCAACCATGCCCCCTGGATCTTGTGTTCTGCAGTGTGAGGGACTACTGGAAAAGTCTCTATTTAGTAACTGTGTCACAGTGACAGGAATATGAAGTAAATGTAAATGTTGACGACAATGATGGTAATTACAATGCCAGACACAACAGTGTGAAACCGAGCTAGAACCAAATGGATTTCACCAGCAATAACCATTACAGCTGTTACGAGAAAGTATAAAATAAATCAATTATGTAGATGAAGGTGTAGTGCAACTCGGCAGCAGTATAAGGCTGTGCTGACAGGCCCCTGCCAGAGAAGATGTAGGTCACATGTAAAGATAAGCATCTCAGGTTCACTGCTTTTGTAGAGCAGACAGATAATGGATTGGCAGATTGCCTTTGGCCTAGTAAATGGAGTTGAGAGTTTTTGCAAGCTTGCTCAGTTTATTTCTAAAATGAAAAGAAGCCATGTCAACAATAGCTTAATTCAGTTTAGATTACAGCAAAATGGGTTGGATATGAATAACAAATTGTTCTCTGTCCACCATATTTCAATATGTACGTGCGTATAAACCTGGTAAATTGTGTGTTTTGAAAGGAAATGTGTGGTTTAGTTTAAAAAAGAAAGATAGAAAATAAAAAAACAGTGTCAAGATGTCTCACACAGCTTGCAAATTCAGGGCAAATTCTTGCCATGAGAGATATGAAGTACTTACTGCACTGCACTATTCTAATCCTTACAATGAGAAAGAAATTCCTGCCTCTGGCCAAAAGCCTTTTTCACAAGCTCCAACTTAAAATGTCACACTGAGCCCAGCACTTTACTGCGGCCTTACATTTGAGAAAATGACATGCAGAACTTCGTCTCTGTGTGCTTCTGCAGGACGACTGATACATGCTAGTTTCCTAAGAAGTGACCGCATTGAATGCTGAGCTCGTAATAATGCGGATGGAAAGAGAGTGTATAGCAAACCCTCTAGTACAGTCAAGAATACCTTAACTTCAGTTAGCTCTTTCTCTCTGTCAGAGCCTATAAAAAGACTTTTATCATTGAATTGCTTTAGTCATCACTAGATTTAAAGAGAGAATGTCAGCGAGTTCCATTGTGCATTTGGCTCTGTAGACATTCAGGTGCATTATATAATGATTAACAGATCAGCCTTTCTTTTGCGTTCAATTATGAATATTAAACTATAATACTGTTATATCGTTTGGGGTTCGTAAGATGATATCTAATGTTTTTTTTTTAATAAGTCTCTTATGCTCACCAAGGCTGCATTATTTGATAAAAAATGCAGTAAAACAGTAATATTGTGAAATATTGTTACAATTTAACCTAACTGTTTTCTATATATATTTACATATTTATTTTCTAATGTATTTTAAAATGTAATTTATTTATTCTGTTGATGGCAAAGCTGAATTTTTAGTGGTCATTATTCCAGTTTTCAGTGTCACATGATCCTTCAGAAATGCAGAGTTGTTGTTCAAAAATCCTTTCTTAGTATTATTAATGTTGTAAACCATTGTGCAGCCTAATATTTTAATCGAAACCGTTCTTTGATGAATAGAAAGTTCAAAAGATAAGCAGTGTAAACATCTTTACTGTCACTTTTCTTCAGTTCAATGCATCCTTGCTGTCCCAAACTTTTGGACAGTAGTGTATGCCTATATAATTTTCATGAAATGATTACAGTATGATGTCTGTTAAGCATTATATAAATGCATATTTATGCATATGTACGCTATTAAGGCAAGTTGTTAGAAATTCCTGCTGGCTCTTGAATTAGACCATATTCCTTGTTTGGCTATGTTCTGTAAACTTTCCATCTTGCCAGCATCTGTCTGTTATTCCCTTAAACCTGATGAATGCAGATCTCACCTGCTGTTTTTGATCACCTACAGAAAGAAAATGAGCATAAAAGTTCCACAAGGGAAAAATAATATAATGATTTTATATTATTAGATCTGTCTATATATATATATATATATATATATATATATATATATATATATATATATATAAA